GCAGGAATGCAGTTTACAAGCAGGTGATGAGTAGGTCCTGAATCTTCCTGTAATGTACATCAGCTACACATGGTCTTTCGTCTCGTTCCTTGACAGAGTGTCCAGGCAGATAAACACTGTGACACCGGCTCTGCTGAGAGTCGTGAGGGATGTGCAGGCGCTGCAGACCAGGCTGGGGTGGGGGACGAGCACGATTGATCTCACTTTTCTTCCTCGCTTTACGAGATGGGGCAGCGGCAGGACAGCGACAGGTGTATTTGTTCGCAGAAATGTTCCAGACAGCTCTCTCCGCGCTGGGAGCGGCTCCGCTGGCTGCGCCTGTCCGTCTTGCCCGGGGTTGGCGCTGCTGCTGGTTGTGCAGTGTCTGGGGAGTCGGGAAGAAGCCAGAGGAAGACGCCCATGTTCTTTTGTCAAAGAAGCAAAGCATTTTATTAAAGAGTGCGCCAGTTCGGACAGTGACGAGTGCAGTGGTGCTGGCTGGTTTCAGGCATGTGCAGGTGTGCGAGGAGGGTTCGGCGCAAGATTAGGGAAGCAGGTGTTTGACTTTTTTGTATTGAATATAAAACACATTCCTACTTATAAATATTTTAGAATTACCGTCCAAATTTCATTTCCATTTGAGTGAAACTGCTTTGATGGCAGCAATAAGCAGATTGTTGGAAATGCAGATCTTGCCGCTTCAATAAATTATTTTTATTCTACAAAAGTCACAAAATAGTTTGTCTGAAGACATGCTTTAAGTATTGCAGCCCTGTATCTGCAGTAAGTCAATTCATTTAAATGCAGACCATATTTCATTTAAAAATTCTTTCTGCTACAGCAGTAAACACTCGAGAGCACAGCTGCAGTTTAAAGACCATTTTGTTTCTTGCCAGCCTTATGCCCAGTCCCAGCTCATCTCTGCCGCCTGACAGCTGACCCAAGGTGTGGAAATGACATTCACGTGCCGAAGGAACGCAAGCAGTTCGTTCACAGTGTCATGCGAGTTGCCTTCAACAGGGAATAGCACAAGAAAATGACTGTACTCTATTATATTGAAATGAATTGCTTTTCAGGCAGCGCTTATTTTTCATTAAAACTCAAGGGGGCTCTTAACTAGAGAACAAGTGAAATTGTGCCTGAATCAACTGGCAGTCCAGCTCAGAGCCTTCTGCTTTGTAAGTGTTCCCCAGACCTGATTCCAGTTGTCTTGTTACTATCTTCATCATTGCTCACAGTGCAGTCATTAAACCAGTTGTGTGTCTGTAGTACACCGATTACACAATTTGTCAGTGTAGCTTGTTTTTAAATATAGTGTGTACATGCATATCGGTATGGTTTTGTGGAAGTGACAGTTAAAACACTACGTCTATTACAGGAATAGAGGCTTTTATTTTCAAGTTAGACTAAAAGATCTGATCTTTCAAGAAACAGCTGGGTAACCTTCCTGAACTGATCGGTGTAACAGCACTCTAGTGAGCAAGATGGGATCAGTAACCTGCTGTCATTTGTAACCTTTCCATTTTTCTTCAGAGAACAAAAACTTTCCATTTGCTGTGTATTTAACTCATATGCTTTGCAATGATTTTAGGTGGGTGTCAGTTTTTAAAGACTTGATTGGTCCCTGTAAAGGACTTTTAGTTTGGGAAAGGAAGTGCAGAGCTGCAGTCCCGGCGGAGTGGACAGAACGTGGGGCCGGGGCTCTTGATCCCGATGCCGATCCCGATCCGAGCCAGCCGGTCTCACACGGGTGGATCTGCTCTCCAGCCGTTAGCAGGGCACTGCAGACTGCTGGGCATCACAAGTGCCCGAGGGAGCAGCTTATGATGCATTTTTACTTTTACTGTTTAGACTGTTACTGATTTTCTCCATTAAGATAGGCAGACTTATCGTGGCACTTTTTTAATTTAATGTGTTCATGTAAAAAACAAATTGTGTTTATATAAATAACGATATTGAATACAGCTCGTCTCCAAGATGGGATCGCATCTCATTAGATGGCCAAAAGGTTGTTCTAAATTTGGTTATCGGGTGAAACATTTCCTGCTGTAGTGTTGCTCCAGTGTAAGGTCCTAGCTGTATCCATGTGGCCCTGCGATGGACTGGCGACCTGTCCAGGGAGAGCTGCCTGCCGGGTGAGAACCCGAACCGGGAGAAGCGGTTTGGGAAGAGGTGGATGGATGAGTCCCAGTCAGTGCTAACAGACGTATACCTGAGGTGTGGGCTCAGCTCGGGATCTGGTTTTGTTCATGAAATCATTTCCTTACCGTTGCCTGATACAGTCCCAGCACCCAGGTGGCTGGACGTCTGTCCATCTCCTGTGTTCTTGGCGCCGCTGGAGTGTGAGCACGTTGCTCTTGGGAGATCCTGTGGGCCAGAGTTGTACAGCTGGAAATGCATCCAGCAGTGTCGCTTGTTAAAGAACATGGCTGACACCACTGTGGTCAAACCACCTGATACACCTTCTGGTTCAGTATGGGCAGTTAAACCCTTGTGCACTTCTCTGCCAGGGCATCCACTTGAGGATGTATCAGCATGAGGGGAAATGCGTTCTGTTCTGCTTTGAAAAGAGCAATTTTTATTAAAACTTGCAGTATCTGCGGGCTTTGAGAGATGGCGCTGTTCTGCGCCCTGCTGTGATCACTCCTGGGAGAGCAGTGTCACTCATGGCTCAGATCTCCTCACATCTGCGATTTTTACCTGTCCCTTGTAAGAACCCTACTGATTCAGTTGCTACCCAGATTCTGCAGTTGTGGGCTTTGGAAGGGAGGTATTTTGTGGTTATTGAATCGGCTCTTGACTAGATTCCCCGGAAGCGATGGGGGTGTAGTGAAAGCGGAGGCGGCTGTGATTGAGTGGGCCGGAGCTGCTTCGACGCTGGTGGGGTTGTGTCTTGCACCTCTTTGTCTGGCCATGATAGAACCTGGTCTCTCCTCCCACAGAGAGGGCCATTGCGAGGCACGAGGTCCGAGAGATCGAGCAGCGCCACACGATGGACGGCGCGAGAGACGCTCCGCTGGAGGAGAGTGAGGACGTGGTCATCATCTACAACCGGGTCCCCAAAACCGCCAGCACGTCCTTCACCAACATCGCCTACGACTTGTGCGGCAAAAACAAGTATCACGTCCTGCACATTAACACCACCAAGAACAACCCCGTCATGTCTCTGCAGGACCAGGTGAGGCATGGGTGTGCACGGTTCGTTTATCGTAGCTGGTTAATGCCCATTATAGCAGAGGCACTCTCGCCCAAACGTGCTGGGGCCTCAGTCTCTTGGAGTCTTTCCCTGCGGTTCTGCGGCTCCTGGCTCTGTTCCTCGGCGTGACCGGGCCTGTCTCTCGGGCAGCGTGTGGCTGGAGCTCCTCTGAAAGCGCTTCCCTCTCCTGCACCCACCGGGGGGTCAGGCTTCTCATGGCTGGTTTATACTCTGAGGTCTTTGCCAGAGCTGCATGGTGGCAAAGCGGGGAGAAATAAGGAAATAGTACGATTTTTCTACAAACTTACAAACCCTCCTTTGCAAATAAGTATCCATGTAATACATATACAAATAACGAAATATGAAATCAGTAATCATAGCAATAAGAACAATCGGTTCATGTTATTTACAGACAACACTGTCCCACCTAGAACGTTAGACTTGTAAGGTATGAAGAGGCTGACCAGAGAAATGGTCAAAGAGGCTGGTTTGTCAGTGACTCAGGGCCTGGTATATAAGAAAGGTACTGGTTAGCAGCCCTGCAGTGACACAAATGGTGGAATTATTGTAGCTCTTAAAATTTTCTGTACTTCTCTAGTTTGAAGCGACTTACTGGTGTAAAGCAGTGGAATTAGTTTAATAAAGAGATGCGGTGTGTGTCTGCTGAGTCAGCATCTGCCCTTCCAGTCTCCCTGCAGGATTATTAAAGCACTCTGCTGAGCGCTTCCTCGCCTGTGTTTTAATCAAAGCTTTAAGACTTAAGCGAAAATCGATGAGAATACCCCGCTGAAATACAAATAAGGAATAAATTATGTTTTTTTGAATTTATGAAGTACAATACAGCCACGACCGAGAGGAGGCAAGTCAGATAATAAAAACATCATGACGGGGGTGTAGGCTGGCCTCGCTGGGCTCAAGCGAGCCGGAGTGCACAGTGCTCCGCGCTGGGCGGGTGATCCGGACATTCCCAGAAGTCGGAGGGCGGCAATCGTCTGCAGACGGATTTCCCTCGCTGCCAATAAGCCAGCCCGCTCGACGTTTTCTCTGGTCAGCCTTTTCATACGATACAAGTCTCACATTTCTCGTTGGGACAGTATCGTCTGTAAATAACATGCACTGATTGTCCATTGCTGTTTTTTATTGCTCTTATTTCTGATTTTGTATTTTCCTTGTTATTTGCACGTGTTGCACTGTCTTGCGATGTAAGGCTTTTAAGTTTGTAGAAAAATATCAGCAGTTCCTTTAGGGAGAAGGCAGTCGTGGCAGCTGTCGTTAAGGGGATCTGGGGGCAGTACTACCCCTTGATTAAGGTGAACTAGTCACCCCCAGAGAGCAGCTCCGGCACAGCCAAGCCCTGGGCATGCTGCCTGTGGGGGCATCAAGGTGGGCAACAGTGACTGTCATGAAAAACATGGAAGTTTTTATGTGGGGAAGGGTGGTAAGGGAAATACTGTACATTATATAAGAGGAGCTTATAGCTTAATAAAATAAATGGATAACGATGTAGAGGCTTTTTGTGGGTGGTTTCTGTGAACTTCCATTGCCAGACGGATGACCTCCACAGCTGTGGTGGATGTAATACTGGAGGTGTGCTGTGTGAACAGGTGTCAAAAGGTGAGTTTGTATTTGCTCTTCAGTGCTTTGAATCCTCTAGCAACACTGGTTTGCTGCGTGTCGCTGCAGAACAATGGAATGTGCCCAGGAGGAAGAAGGCTTTGCTGAGGGGCCTCTTCGGAAAGCTGTTATTGTTGTATAGGAATTTGTGCCTACTGTATTAAGTACCTTAACCTGAGGCGGTTTTGTGCAGCACCCTGCTCAGCACCCTCTGACGCCCAGTCCTGTTGTTACAGGTCCGCTTCGTCAAGAACGTGACGTCCTGGAGGGAGATGAAGCCGGGGTTCTATCATGGGCATGTGGCCTTCCTGGACTTCACCAAGTGAGTGGTGTCGCATGTCCAGGGGGCTGGGGGCTGAACAGATGAGCAGGACAGCGGCGTGGGGCTGTGGGCTGGGTTCGGGACACACACTGGGGGGCTGGTTTTTGGATCTGGTCTGGGGCTCTGCCGGTGTACCCTTGAGCAAGGCATGCGCTCACGGAGATCCCTGGCTGCATATAGATGTCCACATGCAAACATCGGACAAATACTGAATACAAGTAAATAATAATGATGGAAACTGGCTGCTTTTCAAGTTAAATGGATGTATAAGCTGATGGAGGGGTGGGTCTGAGGTATGTTTCAGATTTGGAGATGAGACGTTGAGCCATTTGGCTGGAGTGGTGTTACTTGCTTTGGATGGGCTAATGCCCCTGTCTGCACTATGAGCCATGCGGACTTGTTTGTACATGGGCTGTGTGTGTAGCTTCATCGGGAACTTCAGTACGTTTTTTGCCAGCTTCACGCCACTAGTTGATGGTGGCCTGAGTAGCTGCTGCCATCGTGTGGCAGTGAGAAGCACTGCAGCTCAGACTCGCGGAGAGTTTCAATTACTGTGCATTTCCTCCCCAGTTACAGAAGGAGGGCAGAACACAGCTGAGAAACTTACAGAACTCTAACCACACCGGGCACTGATATACCTTTAAAATGTTTATTCTTATGATTTGCAGTATGACAATTAAAACATTCACGCTGCAGTGATATGTTTTAAGTTACGGAATATAAAATGTTTCCAAGTGCTAAAAGCCTTCCCATAATCTTATAGTACCTTATTAGTACTTTCATCACTGTCGTCATGTACGCAGACGTTCAGTCTTCACCTTGCAGGGGCGTGAGAGTTTTTGGTTTTTCTGTGTGAATGAATAAAAATTCTGTTGTAAGCAAGAATGATGAAATGAGTTTGAAAGTGTCTTTCTGCGAGCGTGCCGAGGAGCGCTCTGACGTGCTGTCGAAATCCGCGTGTGCAGGTTTGGGGTGAAGAGGAAGCCGATCTACATCAACGTTGTGCGCGACCCCATCGAGCGCTTGGTCTCCTACTATTACTTCCTGCGGTTCGGCGACGACTACCGGCCCGGCCTGCGCCGGAGGAAGCAGGGAGACAAGAAGGTAATTAATCCTCCGCCCGGAGATGCCACACGGCGCCGGTTTCCACTACTTCGGGCTGCTTATCTTCCCGGACACCGTTGGCCGCCTCGGGTTCTTTCCCTGTGTCAGAGTTGAGCTTCTGCTGGGGGGAGCGAGTACAGTGTCCGTTTAACAGGTCTGACAGCATCTCTGGAGTCTGCGGGACCTGCAGACATGCCTGACGCCTCTCCAACAGCTTCTCTTCGATAATTAACAAGCACACAACACACCTGAGCGCTGGGCAAATCACCTGTCCTCGGAGCCACAGGCTCTGAAGCTGACTCGGCCGTGATGATGGCTCTGTGAATTCTGATGAATGAAGGATCGTGTGTCCACACTGTCCACTGGTTACGCTGCGAGAGGTTTGTGCACCAAGTGCTGCTGAGTAGCTGACACCGGGTCGTCCAGCAGAGCTTTGGAGAGCTCACGACCGGAGCGCTTCCTGGTTCTGCGATGGCATGCTACCTTTTTGGCTGCGGTTCCTTTATTTCGGTTTTCCACACAGTTTTAACGAAGTGCTGGATGTAAAAAAATTAGGGGAACATCTAAATCTAATATCTAAGCCCTGTAACTGACAGCCAGCACACGGAGAAGTTGGTGGGCAGCTTGTTCAATCGTCTGACTTTTTCAGACCTTCGACGAGTGCGTGGCCGCTGGGGGCTCAGACTGCGCTGCGGAGAAACTCTGGCTTCAGATTCCCTTCTTCTGCGGACACTACTCCGAGTGTTGGTGAGTGCGGGAGGCCAGGTCTGTTCCTGCCAGTAGCTTTCAGCCTCTTCTCTCCTCGCTGACGCCTTGTGTGTCAGTTCCCTGTAGGTTTGTACAGGTTCAGTGACAGTACAGTCGAGTTCCTTGTTTTTTTTCCCCTTTTGGGAACAGAGCTAAATCTCCTTTAGAGAGATTAAAGAGTTTTTTTTGAAAAATCACTGTTCATTAAATTGTTTTTCTGCAGGGCGCTGTAGTCAATATGGCACCTACAAAGAATTAATTTAAAAGTTTATATACAAGAGACAATAAAGGAAGACAGACGAGGGCTTCATGCTGTGTATGTTAAAGCCAGCGTTAGTCTTGTGACAGGCTGGTACTGTGTGTCATGTCTTTTCACTCCCCAGAGGAAACTCGCCACCCCCAGCTGGGTCTGGAAATTCAGAATCCGGGTCTGTCGAAAGGCAGGCACCCTGCTCTGCATGGTGTGCTTGCGTGTGGCGCGGTGCTTAATCATGTCTGACAGCAGCGTGTCCTTCCAGGAACGTGGGCAGCAGGTGGGCGCTGGAGCAGGCCAAGTACAACCTGGTGAACGAGTACCTGCTGGTGGGCGTGACGGAGGAGCTGGAGGACTTCATCATGATGCTGGAGGCGGCTCTGCCTCGTTTCTTCAGGGGCGCCACGGAGCTGTACCGCACAGGTACCTGCAGCCAACGACGCGTATAGCAGGGCCAATCTTTTCAAGCGCTCGTGAACACTGGTGCTTCCCCAATAAACGACTAATAAGGTCCAAGCGCTGCTCCTTATCTTGAAAAAGAATTTCCTGGTTGAGGGTGGGCTGAAGTTGGTTTTTTCATTTTCATTTTTGTTGCTGAAGTTGCCCGATCACACTGCTGGTAATTTTGCTGGGGGCCCTCAAGTTGAGGATTAATAAACTAATAGCACCTTGGTTAGTGTAGTAGATCAATTCACGTGTGTTCAAAAACTGTCAGAAATCATTGCGATTGTTTTGGAAAATGTACTCTTCTTATTTTGGCCTCCTGACAGGTTTCAAGATCTAACACAGGGGTTCTTAACCTGTGGGTCACTCCCCAAAAATGGTCACCATGCTGTTTCAGATAGGACTCTGAGATCCTCTTTAATAAGCTGAAATTTCCTCCTACGCAAACATGTTTTTACAAAAGCCTTTAAGTGCCACAGAAAAAAGAAACCCTGCATTATGAGAGAGAATTGTGTTATTTCACAATATTTATAAATGGAAAGAACTTTAACAAAAGTTTTGTAACTTTGTGTAAAAAAACGTTTAAGAACCACAATACGATCTTCACGAGAGTACTATCTTCATTGAGAAAGATTTAAAAATAGTCACACTCCCTTTTGTGGAAAGTAATTAGTATACAAGAAGATGTTTAGACGTCAAGTATCACTGTAATCAAGCATTCCTGGGTTAAACACTTATAACATTAAAATGTATTCCCACCTAAATACAGTTGGGTTTGCAGCCTGGTTTCTCTGATGTAGAAGATTTGACTGCCTTCAAAAGCAGCCTATCAACATATGGTGTAAAACAGAATCACTAAGTGCTTTCTGGAACAAATTGGAAAAAAGTAAAAACTGTTCTGGGCAATGTGTAAAAAATTCCTTTTACTGCCTTTTTCTCTAACCTCTGTGTGAGACGCATGTTTTTCAGCACTTTCTATCCCACAAATAAAGCAACCAGAGCAGATGCAGACATTCAAAGACTTACGAGTCCAGGGTTTGAAAAACTTTCAAAGCTTGTGCGATGTCAAAGTTGATATTAATTTACCAGTGAATGTTTTTTGTGCTGTTTTTCCTAACATTTGTGCTTTTGCGAAACTTGTAAAGACCAAATAATAAACTTCTGCTTGATAATGTTTTAATTTTATTATAGTGTTCAAATACTTAACTTCTTAAGGCATGAGTTATATTTCAGTAACAATAATGTACTTATTTTGTAGACAGCAGTAAAATAATTAAAAGGAAATTAGCTCAATACTGAACCACAAATCGCAAAACTGGCTCCCAGATTGAATCAGGGTCCCGGCTGACTTTGTCCGGTTTCGGACCCCTGCTCTAGGGCTTGTCTGAGAGCAGGAACTTGGGTTTGGGCTCCCCCTGCCATCTGGCAGCCTGTCACCACTGTCCTCTCCTTCCAGGAAAGAAGTCCCACCTGCGAAAGACCAGCGAGAAGAAGCCACCGACCAAGGAGTCCATAGCCAAGCTGCAGCAGTCGGACATCTGGAAGATGGAGAACGAGTTTTACGAGTTTGCGCTGGAGCAGTTCCAGTTCGTCCGTGCGCACGCCGTGCGGGAGAAGGACGGCGAGCTCTACCTCTTGGCCCAGAACTTCTTCTACGAGAAGATCTACCCCAAAATGAACTGAGAGCCCGGGGACGGGCTCCACCAGCGTGAGAGACGATCGGACCTGCAGCTGCGGCCTCTTCCTCCCGTCACGGGCGCTGGGCGAGAAGGGGGGCTTCGCAGGCGACAGCGCCTTGTGCTCACAGGGATCTCACGGTGCAGCGAGTCCTGGAGACCGTGCCAAAACTTTGTGTGCGCCACCGGCTCGAGACTCTCCCGTCGGGGGCGACTGACTGAATAAGCCTCGGGGGGCCCCTCTTTGTTCCGGGGGACAGAGCCCCAGCGTCTGCCTCCCACTCCCTCGCCCTGGACGGGCGCTGCGGCCAGCGGCCCTACGAGGCGCGCTGGCGAGACCCGTTCTCATGGACTTCCAGTACCGACTCTTTTTTTAATCTTTTGGTAAGGGTGTCTTCTTCCGTGAGCGTTGTCGTCGCCCGGGACGGCGAGGAGTTCGCCGGCCTGTCCCAGCGCCGGGGCGCGCCCTGCCGATCGGACCGCCACTCTCCGGACTCTTCGCAAGTGCCGCAGGCCGACAGCGCACAGCCAGCTGCTCAAGGCCTGCGGCGTGTGAAGTGGACTTGCCTCGTTTTACAAACAGTTGTGGTATTGTACATTTATGGGATTTTTTTTTTTTTGCATCTTGTATACTTTTACCTGTAGAAGTATTTTTGCTAGGGTGCTTTGTAAAGTGTTTACAAGCGTTGTAATTAAAAGTGAAAAAAGAAAATTTAATCAACCGCTGTACATATGGCGTATTTTATGTATTTGGACCAAAAGATGATAAAGACTGAAAATAAGGACTGGTTTCAGTTCTGAGATTCAGCAGTTTTGTTCTGTGTGGTACATATTAGGAACATCACACCTGCCAACTTGTCATATTTCTGCTGACATGCAAGCACAGGGTCTCCTGAGGCTTTTCCGCAATCAGATCTGTCCTGGGACCGGGTTCTTGATCAGTTCTTCCACGCGGACCCAACACGGAAATCATTAAAGCTTTTTCTGTTCTTCTCATCTGGAAATACCACTGGATTTTATTTTACATAAACCAACCACTCAGAGCCGAGACAGGAGTTTTTTCGGTATTGTTGGTGTTGGTGAGCACATGGCTGTCACCTCTCTTCATTGTGCAGACACCAGTCCTGGCCTCAGTCTAGGTTTTCTGTTGGCACTATGAGACTCCTTCCTTGCTGAGTACTTTAACTTTTGTTGTTTTGTTGTTTTTAAGGGGAAGGGTTTTTTTTTCTGGTAAATGATCCTTGAAATGGTCCAGTTTTTCAAAGAGAGGTGCTGCTACTGTAGTGTCCCTCAGAGTGGAGCTTTTCTGCATCTTACAGAAGCCGTCTTGTGAGGTCACTCGTGGGAGGTCACTCGTGTGGGAGCTGTGTGGTCTCTTGTGGCTTGAGGAGTCTCTGCACAGACTGACTTTCACTCCAGCCTTTTCTTTTTCAACAGCTTTAACAATGTAGGTGTTATTGTCTTTGGAGTCCTTGGCAGAGGCAGGAAGATGTTGAAACTACTGCTCAGTTATGAAATATCAGCTAACAGATCTGGACTATTTCAGGTGTATTATCATTGATCTCGCAACGTGTCAGTTTTGTTTAGTGCTGGAGAAATGGCCTATCTGTGTTTGTCTGTTGTGATGCCTCGGTGAAACGAGTCCCAGTTCTGGTTGTCCGCTCTTCGTTTTCCACACAGCGTCTTACAGAAGTGTTGTGCAGATCCTGCTGCCTCTCCCACTTGGGACTGTAAAGGCTGCAAAGCAGAGAAAGTCTTTTGTTTTAGTGCTGCAGGTGAAGCAGGAAACAGGCTCTGGTGTTGCATTGCGTTGTCCTGCTTGTGTGGGGCACCGTTCCCAGCAGCACCCTGGACCCCGGCAGTGGGAGACGCCTTCAGGGTGTGTCTGGGTAGCCCACTCAGAGGGGTGAGCAAGGCGCGGCCCTGGCCAGGGTTCAGCAGCTGGTGTCGCTGCCCCTTGCAGCCAGAAACTAAACAGAATGTTTCCAGTACGTTCATGGAGGAGAAGATTTCTTTGTATCTGCCTGTGCTGGCATATTTTGTCAGTCAAACGCAGTTTTCCCATGTTCCCACAGTGTTTTTAACCCTGCAGTTTCTACGCAGAGAGCCCCAGTGTACTTGGAAGGCGCTCAGGTGCGTCTAAACTGAACTTTTAGAGAGCTCTGAAACTGACCTCCTGGTGTCCCAGCCTAATTGTGTCAGTGTGAAGTGTTATTGCTGGGTTGTGCTCTTGAGATGCTACAAACTTGATTAGTGCCTTCATCGTGCATGAGGATTCAGAACCACTTGTCACATTTTGCTGCAATGTATTTGGAATCCTCCCAAGTCTGTTTACTATTATGATTTTACTTGCTTTCATTTCTTTGTGGTTTTAATCTGCTGAACTGCCAGCTCTCCATTTTGTAGGTTTGTTTTCTTTTTAATTTGTTGTTTAAAATTGATTAAAACATTTCAAATAAATACCAAACTTAAACGTCCTTGGCCCTTGACCCTTTTATTGTCCCTGTCTGAATGCAAGATTAACATGGATCCCATGTCCATACAGAGAGCTGGGATGTCTCTCAAAGAGGAAAGCAGCAGCATTGGGATCGTGGGTCTGGTCTTCCTTTTTGGTGTCGTGGACTTTGTTGGTGTTTAAACTATTTTGGGAAAATACCAGAAAATCTTCCATGAATTTAGGTGTAGAGGGTAAAAACAATCAGGCCCAAGATCTCAGTTGCAGCTCCTTTCCATATCGATTTCTTTATTCAGTCAGCAACAGCTGACTTAAGATCTTTTTATAATCAGGACGTGTCAGAGAAGGTAAACAAGTTGTTGTAATATTGAAGTTTCGTTTTGTTTTCTCTTGACATAATGTGCCCTACCTGAGAAAAAGTTATTCAAGGACCAGAAGCAAGCCAGCTCAGAATTTGCAACTGTTGTTACGGTGTAGTCTCTGACAACTCTGATTAATCATCTGCACAGAGTGAAATTATAACCAACCTTGACTTAACATGTGTGTTTTTTGTCACAGTGGAGTTCTCTCTCATGTCGAATACAGGAAAATTCATTGATAATAAAATAATGATCACTGACGGCCTCCAGACAGAGGCGGGGAAAGCACCCATCTAGCCTAGCATCCATCTCTGCCAGGTCTTCTCTGCCTGGAAACCTGTCTGTGCCAGTATTGCCCATTCTGAGCGATCACATCTGAGCAGACACCAGCATATCCAGGAATGAGACGCTGTAGAGCTTCTTACACTGGAATCCACTCAAGTCAGTGCTATACAGTATATGCACCCATGGAAGACGGGACAAATCACTGAAAGCCTGCGTGCTCTAATCAAGAGACAGCACTCAAGAAACCAGCATGATCAGGAATTAAATCACGACCATCCTTTCCTGTGCTTTTACTCCAGCAAGGTTGTTGTTTTCTGTCTAAATCGTCATTTGTCTGCAGTTTCTGCCCCTCTTCAGAGCGGTTTGTTTTTCTCCTGCCGGGGAAAGACAGCTTCTTAAGTTCTAAGGTGTCCCACCATAAATCTTGATGAAACCAGCTTCTGGGATATTTACAGCCAGGCAAGCAAGCGCCGAGCCTGAAGGATTTAGGAACGGCCTTTTGTTCATGCTTTTTTAAAGATGGCAAAAGCCACTTCGGTGAAATAAGGTCAAGCTTTTATTTTTGTTTGCTCTTGAGCAGCAGATGCCCGTAAATCATGGAGAGTCGCGAGTCATCATTTCCCTGCAGTGACCGTAAATACTGAGCGGAGAGGGACGGGTCCGAGATCTTCATCAGCAGACTGGACAGGGCAAGGCGGAGAGGAGTGCTCGTTCGGTCTTGTCAGTGTCTGCTGGGAAGCGCAAGGTCTCGGGGCCTGGAGCGGTTCAGCTGTCCGGCAGCGGGGGCCACCTGGGGCAGCAGGCTGCCGGTCCCTGGTCCCTGGTCCCGTGCTTTAAAAGCCAGTTTACCTCATTGCTCGAGGGATAGTGCAGTGTTGTTTCATTAAAGAGCTGCATGAAGCAGGATAATGATCTTATCTGCATTATGAGTGTGTCCACCAGACATCGATCCTGATTGATGGGCTTGACAGCCGACTGGGAAGCAGAGCCGGTTCAGGAGCTCAATCCTGAGCGCCTGGGAGCCTCCTCTCTGGCTACCGATTTTTCCGATTAGCGTACAGAACCACACACGGGGATGAGTATGAGCCCGCCGTGTTTCAGATCCTGTTTATGAGGTGAGGTGACGGAGGACTTCGATTTTGCTCCCAGGCCTCCGTGAAGCAACATTAGGACCTGGAGCAGAAAGCTTTTGAAATAGGTAGCTTTGAAGGGCAGCACACACCTGCTGAGAAGAGCCATCATTCGGGACTGAGGATGCTGGGATACGGGA